TACATAAATAGGTATATGCATACATGCATACATACATATGAACATTGCATTAAAATTGTATCATTAAATGATAAAAAAAAATCATTTTAAGGTAAACAATTGTCCATTCTCATAGAGCAAATAGTAAGCAAATTTAACCTAAAGAGGAGGCTTTATGTCTTCTCGGAGTATGACTTTTCTCAATTAAACGTATTTTAATGAAAAAAGATCCTGATTTGAGAAAATTTCCTTCAAAACAGGAAAGCTAATATGCTTTGCTAAGCTACCAAGAGACCCAGGTGACAATTTCCAAACCATCGCAGGTGGATAAAACAACGAACATTAGAGCTATCATATCAAATTCTAATAAGGAAGCACACAGCAAGGGACCTCACTGTTTTATCCCTGTCGAGGATGGGAATTAGCCTTTACGAATAGGTTCGATGTACGACCTAAAACCGGATGGGAATAGTAGAGATACTTGAGGTGAAATAAACAATCCAGCATTCATACAGACATGGATAGTTTATATTCTCTAGTTTGCATTTGTCTAAAGGAAATCCATGGATTCCGCTCTATAAAATCTGATTATTAAATTCAGAAGGACTACTGGGTCTAAGTTCCCAATTCACCTTCTACAGATCTACCTAGCTCCATTTCAAGGCCATTATTTAGTTCGAAGAGTTATACATATCATTATTGCTGGATGGACGGGAGGTGTTCTTCCTCATTGAGGAAGTGAAATATCGTGGAATATCCTTTGATAAGAGCGTAATGTTAATAGAATTAATATACCGCACGATCGACCGTCTAATTATTTCTTGCGCCTTCATAAGAAAGTAATCTGCTTTAGTAGGAAAATAAATGTCAAAGTCTATGCAACTTCGACGTCAGATATTTTTCCTATATATTGGTGCAGATAGATCAAAGAAAGAAGACGGTAATGAAGATGGTGCGTCATAATAAAACTTAAAAAGGGTTTGAAAGGCGTTTTAGTTATCATTTCAGAAAGTCAAGGGCCACTAGGATGATCCCCTACAAATTTAAAAAAAAGAGTGTTTCATCCTTAGATGAAGCGAGGTCTTTAAATATTCTTTTACTAAAAAGATAATTAATCACCTAACCAGCGAAACAGTGGATATTTAAACCGGTCATAACCTGCAGTGTTCTTAAAAGCACAGGATTTCTCTGTCCACAGAGAGGGAAGCTGGGAGTATATTTGGCTTTAAGGGCCAGAGTATTTATAATCTGTGTAGAAGAGAGTTCAAGGTGCGCCTTTATTCAGCTTCATCAAAAATTTTTAACTATTTAATAGTAAAATATGTTTAGAAAATATTTATTTTAGTGCTAAGTATTGCTAAAGTTGTGTGATATGCCAGCTCATGTTCTGCTCGATTGCCAAATACCAGCATTTTATAATATATTCAGTTCTACATATTTTTTAACCATCAATATAAGTGTCCACAATCCCATCAAACGTGTAATCTAAGCCACAAAAAAGTTTTTCATTTATTTACAAACTTTTTACGCACGCAAAAGCTTGCAACTTAAACGGCAAAAAATACTAAATGTTACCAACTCAAAGCTCAATAAAAACGGTTAGCTATAAACCATTTATTCCATTTATAAGTATTTGACCTTTGACCCATTTAAGGTTTATGCTAAGGCGACCACTGACATTTACGAACATACATATGTATGTGCACAAGGGTAGTCCAAAAATACACGTGAAAAAGTAAAGTCGGAAAAATATTGATTGTTTTTTCCCATTTAAAGTACATGGAAAACTTTGAGCGCTTTGAGCGACCTNTTTTATGCTAAAGCGACCGCTGACATTTACGAACATACATATGTATGTGCACAAGGGTGATCCAAAAATACACGTGAAAAAGTAAAGTCGGAAAAATATTGATTTTTAAGAGTTCCATACCATTTACACGAAAAGTTGTTTTTTTCCCATTTAAAGTACATGGAAAACTTTGAGCGCTTTGAGCGACCTCTAAATATTTTTTTATTTCAAAATTAAAAAATAGGGGTTTACATTTTTCGATATAGAACAATCCTTGGAGGTGAGAGCCTTACAATTCCGACTTTACTGTTTTTGGACCACCCTAATGTACTTATAGCAAATGGAAGTGAAAAATAAGGAAAAAGGAATGGAGGTTATTAACGTTTTTAACAGCTTAGTGAATTTTAATACGCTCATTAAATATTAAAGTAATAATCTTTATGTTGTTGGCAAAGCAGTCTTCTTCTTCTCAATTTAGCGAGTCACAACGGTACGCTGAAGGACTCATAACCGCTATAGTATTTATATTTATTGGCTAATNGTACTTTAGCGAGTCACAACAGTACGCTGAAGGACTCATAACCGCTATAGTATTTATATTTATTGGCTAATAATGAAAATATGGTTTCATTTACCATACTAAATAACTATATACTAATAGCTAAGAAACAAGTAAAATAAACAATAAAAAGTTTAACTAAGTACATAAAAATAGTCGATAGCTGAGGAGTGTGGCGGTCAGGGGATTCACATAAATCTAATGGAGTGTATGGATTTGGAAGTATGGAAATATGCAATTTTACGCTTTTTTGATAGAGTTTTAGGAAATTGTTAAAAGTTGTTGTTTGCTAAATAAAAAGCTTTAATAGCGTAGAGTTCATTATCCATAATAGCTCTTTAAAAAAACCGTGAAATTTGTATGTAAAATTCGTTGATTTTCATGAACTGTAGTCACTAGAATGGCATTAAATGATTTGTAGTTGAAGATGTACTTAAATACTTAATGCGAAGGCAATTTCGTTAGCTATAACTGTTTTAACGAAAAATCCTAATCAGAAATAGGTATGTGCTGATTAAGTATCGAAAATCCTACCGGCATTTTTTTGTTGTGGAGTTGTATTCTTAGGCTATACTACGAGAACATATACCGTACTTTCGAAGGTGGAACCGAAGCATAAAAAGGGGCCTTGCGGCTTCATCTTCTTTAAGACAGGAAGAGCAAATAAGATTGCTATGTATTCCAGCCGTATTCAACGATTTGTGCCTCGGGAAGTGACTACTTAGGAATTTCAAAGTTGTATGCTATCATACTTGCTTAATCGAGCAGCTCCTTGAATCCTCCCAGTTAAGACTGAGAGCTATAACTGGTTGCGGCCTGAGAAATACTTGACCTGAGTCGTTGGTAACCAAATAGCAGCAATTCGTGTGTGACCTATCACTTACGAGTATTTAAAGTAATGCCCCTCCATCCTTGGGGACTGCAAATAATAAAGCTTCGAATACCGAAGACTGCGTACTATTCTTCGATATTGCGAAACCCGTCTAGATCCCTTCTCTGTACACAGAACCTGCTTCTTTTAAATTTATAAGTGGCCTTAATTGAAGTTTAAAGATTTTCAACACATTTGAGGCCTACTCCCCAAAATATCAAAACACTCCCTCAAAAATTACGTTTTTTACTACTCTAAAAAAAGAACTCGGTAGCAATGATAGAGCTAGTGAAATTTGCCTACCGGGTACCATACCGGATATGACTGTTCTTCCGAGAATTAGGTTATTACCCACAACGCTGTCACGTAGTCCGTAGTGAAAGAGGCTATATATACCAGCTACTTACGTTCTACCCTTTTCTCTGAGTATAGTCAATTGTGAAAAGCAGCGTTTCTTTCTGCATGGAAACATTAGACTGAAGAGATATGCTTAGTTCAGTCAGTTTTAATAAACAAAATCTTGAGTCAAGTACACTAACTCTGAGTACTCGTTCTTAACACCTCGGAGCAGTGAAATTCTATTTTATATTAGCTAGATTTTTCGAAACAAACCATTCTTGGAAGCCAATAAAAAAGAAACTGCTGAAAATAAAAATGCATACCCACTATAACAGGCGTCCAGATTCGGTAACGCGAGATATTCTTATGCATTTTTACGCGTTAAATTCGATTTCTCTGGCAAAATTGGCGCAAGTGTTCTTAGTTTAAAGTTAACTTTTAAAATCACCTGAAAATCACAGATATATTGAAGAAAATTACGACAGGTTTGAAAGTGAATGCATGTCCCGCGTCTCCAGATTCAAAACGGGTTATCTTCAAGAACGCAGTTTTTGCGAAATTACTACAAAGAAAAGTGTTCCTTTGTAGGATTCCCTATCAGGCATTGGAACCTGAATAGGAATTTCGTTTCTCACCGGGCACTGACACTTTTCGAATAAGAGATTTGTAAATGGAAATGAAACAACAGTCGAACTAAAAGTGTTTGATTAAAAAGTATTTTCCTCGTTGAAAATGCGTTTGAAACCTTGTTTGTAATTTTTGCAATCCCTAATGGGCACCGCAGTAAACACTTAGCACAGTGGTGCAATTTCACGAAAGCAATTTAAGAGCAATCGATGTAATTAGGAAAAAAATTGAAAATCAAAGCGAATGCTATGCGTGTTAAAGTAATCAAGTATTAAGTGGATTTGAAGAACGACATCTAAAACATAAATGAAGCTCAGCAGAGTGTTTAAGTGCAACAACAACCCTCATAACAATGAAATAGAGTGACTAAACGTTTCGCGAAGCAATTTATGTAAGCATGAAGCAAACAATTTGAGGCTTCTAACTTGTAGAACAAGTAAGAATTGTATTCCGCGAAAAGCCTATTAGAAATAAGTATTGTCCATATAAAGTGAGTGTAAACTGCAAAGGAGTCCACTATGACCATTTAAAATCATATCTATTGGAGATATACGTATAGCATTTATTTAGTCTGTACATCTAAGGTATTGGCAAACTTACCGATTAAAAAGTATCTCCACATCGCAATCATATTGATGTTACTTGTTGCTGCTGGTTATTTTGTTGTTGTTGTTGTTGTTGTTAATATTAAAGATGGCTTTGCTGGCAGAGTTGTTCCATGCAGTGCACTTACCAAGTAGTTGCGACACAAAATGGTCTTCGTCGTCTACTTTGAGCGACTGACTACTATAAATGCAATCGTTGTCTGTTGCTTTTGCTGGTGGTTTTTAGGTTGATGTTGTTTTTGTTGCTACTACAGTCAGTTGCTTTCACATTGCACTTGATTGATTTGTTTATTTTTTATTGTTATTCTAATTGCAACTGAAACACTGTTGGTGTCGCTGGTGCAATGCTGAGTGGTGGTGGTGGTGGTGGTGGTGTTACTGGTGATTAAGTGCAACCGTTTCGAACAGTAAGTATTGATTGCGGTCGTTAATTTTGAGGTTTTTACACTTTTTGCATTACTTTTGGCTGTTACACAGACATTATTTAGAACACTACTTGCTTTGTTAGTTGTTGTTAGTTAGTTAAATTTTCTATGCACTTTTATAACATTTTCACTCTTCTTCCTCCCACTCTGCGCAAGCATGCGCCTCTGCGAACGGCAAAAAGTTTGTGCAAATTGGGTTGCACAACTTTTTTTTTGTTATTTTGTTTTTTAGCTTCGATTGCCAATTTTTTTTTGGTCTGTGAATTATTAGTTTGTTATTTGAGGGCGACCCTTAGTCGTATTTTTGGTTAGTAGTAGTCATTTTGAATTCAATAAATTTCTGCACTGAAAAGAAAGAGAAAAATTATTATTTATTAGAGCATAAGTGAAGCTCTAATTTCAGCACATTTTGCTGCTTCGTTGTTTTGGTTATTTGTTGTTGAGTGAAAGGCGTGAATTTTTCTGCTGGCGAGATTTATTTACTTTCAATTCCCTTTGTCAGCTTTGCAAGTGTCCCCTCTGCTGAACAAGTTTTTTTTTTATTTATTATTTTTTCCAGTTCATAAGTTACATACATATATTGCGCGCACAAAATGGCTTCCTTGCCTTCTTTTCTTAGCCTTTGCAGTGAGTTGTGTTCGTTTTTTACTTCATTCGCTCGACCTATTACCTTACCACATAAGCAACCTCAATGTTTTCGTTGTCTTCCGTGTCCACTATGGACCTGGTTGGTATTACATGCAAACATACTTACAACTGGTTTTCTTCAGTTGACTTGTTGGAGTGGTTATCGTATTGTTTTTGTTTTCCTTCCTTACTTATTCTGCTCATGCATTAATGTATACTCATTTTTCTTCAATTCTTTTTGCTCACTGCAATGCGCCACAAAACAATGACTTTAATCAGTCGAAGAAATCAAGCAATTCGACCCAAGATGGTACCTCCGAAGACTTGAGTGTGCCAGCACTCCTATGTGGATGGGCTAGAATACACCACATTCGTGCACAGCAAGCGAAAAGGGACACAAGAGAAGCGAAGGTGCATGGGTAGGGATGATTGTTTGAACCAGGTAGCCAGCAGTAAGCGGCGAGCATAACAACAAAACCAACTCCACAGCGAAGCGTAGCTTGTCATGCCCGGCTGTGGCAAAAAGTATGGCAAGGAAAGGTAAGCAAACGGAAAATCCGTTGAGTCGCTTGAAAGGCTTCCAAGAAGTACTCACAAGCTACATAACTGGGTAGTAGTACCTTAAGCAGACACGCTCGCTTGTTTGTGCTCTGTTGTGTACCTTTTGAGCTGACGTTGCTTAAATGTTTTCGTTTTTTACGTTTTTTTCTCGCTTCGCAATTTGTTTGTAATATTTCTTATGCAAGTTTTTTTTGTTTTCTTTTCTTAACCAATTCTGTTTTATAGCCGTATTTCAAGAGAAACGTTTAAAGCAAACAACACACACAAACACATTTAAACTATCCGTTGGCGATATCGATGATGGTTGATATTGAAATATGGTATAATGGGAGAGGTAAGAGACAGACAGCAATGACTGCGGACTGGTTTTCTGATGACGACGTCGCAGTCGTGACGCAGCCGAGAAGAGGAGTCGCAAGTGGATGTGTAGGAGATACAGCGCAACGAAGCGAACGGGCGGATGTTATGTGTTGAAAACAGGTTTGACAGGTAAGAAAGGTAAGCGCGTATAGCAAGCAATAAAATAACGCCACTATACACAATCGTGTCAGGCGAACGTCAACGGCGAACAAAGCGTCTACATATGTATGTGTGTACATACGTTGACGATGCTGCTGCTTGGACCTACATAGCTTATGTGCGCGGGGTAGGAAACGGTTACAGGTGAGCTAACAGTGTGACAGACAGTCGAATTTGCGCTTGAAGTCGCCTCTTGCCAGCTACAGCTTCTCATTTGATTTCCAAGCGCGTATACGCTATCTAGATAATCCCCTGTAGCAGGGAGGCACTGGCAACGCTGGCTGTATGGATGTTGCGGCGGCGCGTCAACTGCGCTGCTGCTGCTGTCGCCGAGATGATGTTGACGTAGTCGCTAGTGTTGCCGTTGTGCATTTAAAGTGGCTGCAATGCCGTCACTTCACTACGTTTGTATGCACGTGTGTGTGTGTGTTTGAATGCATGCAGTTGCTTTTGTTATTGCTGTAGAGTGTTACTTTGATTTTCCTTTTCTTTACCTGCACTTCGTATGCACACACACACAATACAAACACAGCAGCATTAGCTGCACACACACTAACAAAGGAGGGGAAATTCGAATGCAGTTGAAAAGTTGAAAATCTTAAGACTTGAATCACTCGTCGCGTACACTTTAAAGTTGCTTTTCACTATGGCGAGCGAGTGAATGCATAATTTATTTTTTTAATTTTTCTGTTATAAATTCACAAATCAAAGGCGTTGGCTTTAAACACAATTTAAGTATTTTCCACATTCTTTTAGGTTTCACTGTTTTTCTTGTGTTTCATAAAAATTTGCCTTTCTGCAACTCACACTCGTTATTAATTCTCTTTGACTATGCCTTACTTTGCTTTCTTCCATACACTTACTTAGCTTCGCATTTTCTGTTATTCACGCGTTTTACTTAACAAAATCATTGCACAAAATTATAATAAAAACGTAAAAATCGCAATTCGCAAACACAATAAACGTTAGCAGCACTCGCGTAATGTATTTAATTCGGTCGGTCGGCTGCTGCTCAGCCGCCTTACTTTTCGTTTTTTTTTTTTTGAAACTTTGCACAGCTGCTGCTGCTTTCCGTACACCGTTCACATGAAGCACACAACAGTACCCGCGACAACAATCCGACACTGTTGAGAACACAAATAATACTAAAGTGTTCACGGTTGTACGCAAATGCAACGCTACGCTGCTTCTTCTTCTTCTTCATCTTCGTCTTCATACACACATTAGCAGCGTGCTCTCTCACTATTTTCAGGTCGTCGTTTAGTGGCGCGCTAATAGCTGCTTCGTTCGTGATTCTGCACAATTTTTAGTTGCCTGCATTTGGGATTTGTTGATTCGCATCATTTGCTTGTGTGTTTACTTTTCTCAGAACTGAGCGGAAATGCAGCGCGCGTACTCAGCAACATGCACAAAATTTGTAGCAACATGAATGCACTCAACAACCTATGCGCACTGAACACACTCCATACGGTTTTCTCTTTACAAATGATGCTGAGAGTTAAGTGAATGTTTATTAGCATGCTAGCGGTGCAATGTTGAGATGCAATGTTGCTAGGTGCTGTATTGTTATTGCTAAAGGTAGTTGACCTTATTCAAAGGTATAGGGGAAACTTTATTCAATTATGTTAGAGGATATCACAGGAAAGGAATAAAATATGCAAAGTAAAAGGTAGATAAATTGGTGTACATATGTACATACATATGTATGGAGCCAAGTGCCTTATATGTATTGCTAAAACATAAAATGCATGTACAGTGCTTTTGAAATATTTCTTTTTTATATATTTTAAATATGTATTAACAGCGTTTTCCCTTTTATCAGTTTTCATATTAAATTCAAAAAAAAAAACATTTATCACTTAAATTACTTTATGAAACTGACTCTAAGCAAATACAATTAAAGGAAGATATGTGCATACACATAGTACTGGACATATCTATAGCACCCCCCTTTCAAAGTGCTATTGTTTTCCACTAATATTTCAATTTTTATTTTTAAGAATTTTCAATTAAAATGCAGTTCTTTCTCTAACAAAACCCGTATTTTAAACCCAAGTTTAAAACTTTTTAAAAGACTACAAAAAACGCAAAAAATTTTACCAAAAAATTTCAAACGTTTTTCTCAGAATTGTTAGATTTTTTTCGAATACGTAGTTTTATAGCCCATTAAATTTTAGTCTGATAATGTGCAAGTTTCAAGTCGCTAAAATCTAACGTTGTTTTTTAGAATTTTGGGTAAAATTTGTTGCGTCTTTTAAAAAGTTATAAACTTGGTTTTATATTAGCTTTGCTATAGAATAAACTGTTTTTTAATTGAAAATTCCTACAAATAAATAAATAAATATGAGTGGCAAACAATATCAATTTGAAATGGGGGTGCAATTGTATTGGCCAATACTGTATGTACATATATATTTTTGTATGTACAAATGTTTAACAAATTCTTTTTTTAAACAATTCTAAAAGCACCTTATTAGCAGCATTTCTCCCACATCCTACAACAATAATATTATTAGCAACTATCTTTCTGCAAGAACATACAAAAACATTAAAACAAAACACAAAAGATTGTACACAAGCCATGCACTGAGAGAGAGTCGTTTAACTGCACACTGCAATTTGTCTCTTAAACAAGCCGTTGCATTTTTCCATTGTTGTGAGTACCCAAAAAATGCATTTCTTCTCTTCGTATTTTCCGTGTTTTCGCTAGGCTTCCAGCGTTCTCTCTCGCATGCATGTTTCGCTATTTTGTGCTCGTATTTCTGTTTTGCTTCTTTTTTGTTTTTGTTTTTGTTTTTCTTTCTGTTTTTTTTTTTGTTTATAATTTTTTTTGTACCTTGCATTGCATGAACTATTGGCAATTTCTTCGAACCGGTTGCGCTGGTTTTCTACAAATTCGTTTGCGCTTTGATTGCGCTTACGTTGCAATTTATTTACGATTTCTATGTAAAAAGAAAATAATATGGCAATGTGTGTTTTTGTTAATTTTTTCATGTTTGTCTTTTAGCGCTGGAAAACCTTAATGCAAAGCAGAGTTCATGATAAAGTAAAAACATTGAAAAGTTCGTGATGCGCATTGAGTGGGCAAATTAATTAGAAAAATAAACATGAAAAATAACAAGGAAAATAAGGTAAAAAAATTGAAATAAAATAAAGTATAAATAGTACATATCGTCGCTCGTATGCCTGAAAAATTAATGTGTAAAAATGAAAAATTTGGGAAATCAAGTTAAAGAGTTTTTATTTACGTGACTTAACTCAACATTTAAGTAATTGAAATCGTAAATTATGTGGTTTCCATGTACGCATGGTATTCTGGTTGAACGTGCAGTGACCAGTGAAGGCTCCCGCAAGTGTCGGACATGCGCTTTGTTTAGCTTCAAGAGCTCTATATCTAGACTTAGGTCCACTCGTCGCAGGAAAGACTAAACCACCTTGCATTTTAAGGCCTTCACACAGTGCTCGTTAATCCTTCCAGCAGCCGACCAAATGCGGCAAGTTAAACCTAAACATTTTTACCCGATGCCAAGTCTTCAAGATATAGCTATGGCCTGGAACCCGAATGATCTTGATAACGAAGCATCTTAAATTAAGGTGAATGGTAAAGGATCCGTATGAAAATGTTGTATAAGACCAGAATGAACTAAAAGTTTTTAGAGTTCGGGATTGCTGTTTGTTAAAAGGGAACTTATGACCAACGGCTCTTAGTCTACATCGACACAGCGTTAGCAGTTTAAGAACAGAAGCGGTACAAAGTGTCTCAATGATTCCAATTCGTTCTTCACCAACTTAACCATGGCGATTTTATCTACACTGAGAAAAGAGTTTAGCTACAAAATCTTGTGTTTAGATAATATGTATATTTAGTTGACGTAACTAAACCCTTTTTTTGGTGCATTTCGTTCCACTACGCGAACAAACAACACAAATACTTACGTATATTACATTTGCCAAACTTAGAATAACAACAAAATTAAAAAATCAATGACAGCGAATGCGACTTGAAGTGTTGGCGATAGACTGTCTACCGCGAAGAAGCTCCAGAAGTTAGCTAGCGGAATTTAAAAAAAAAATCAAATAATACATACAAGAACTACAATTTTAAAACCAGCTCTTTCCCGAGCTAGGTTTTTTGTTGTAAAAAGATTTGCGTTGTGGCGTGGGCATCGCTGGTCTACCTCGCGAAGGATGGTTTAAAAACCGCTCGATGTTAAAGACTGTACCAGTCGGGTATTTAAAAAAACGCTGAGAGACTGATCGCTCTGAAATCCTGGAAACATGTAAGATACCCTGCTTTCTACGGGAGTATGAGTACATAAAATATAATAAAATAAAACCAAAAAATAAATTACATAAAGTAAAGTTAATTTAATTATACTAAAATTAACTAAAACATAACAAAATAGAATAAAATAAAATAAAATAAAATAAAATAAAACAAAATAAAACAAAATAAAATAAAATAATAAAATAAAATAAAATAAAATAAAATAAAATAAAATAAAATAAAATAAAATGCCATAAAATTAGATATTAAATAATTAATTAAATCCAATAATTAAATTTAATTAAAATACGTTAAAAAATAAATAAGAAAATTGTTTTAATTTTACGGAAGGTTATTCAAAGAAGCCAAAAATAGGTTTTATCAAAGGAGGAGAGGTTAAAGACCTCTATACTTTGCACAGCGGCTTTACAAATGTTCTGTGTGACTACTTGCAGTAATTTATTAACCGGACTTATGGCCACTGGAGATGCAACCTTTGTAGTTTTTGATAAGGCATTGCAAATATGCAGAATTGGTCCAATATGACTTGCGAAACTGAATATTCCAGTTGCAAACAACTAGGTTCCTACATAAATAAGCACGATTTTATACAGAAACCAGACATATGGACCCCTTTGCGCAAAATTATCGTATGTTACAAAAATCAAATTTTACAGAAGCGTCAAAAAGTGAATAAAAAATGTAACATACGATACTTTGGCACAAAGAGGTCGGTATTTAAGTAGATATAATAAACGATGTGCATTGCGGCCATGGGTGTATTGTGCGCTCATTTCCTTGTGTCGGGAAAAAATAGAAATTGAATGAGTTTGGGAGCTTATAACACATTATGTGAATGAAGTAAATTTCCTTACAAAGATTACATGTAAAATCATAAATTCAAAAATGCATTACATGCACTTGAATCAACAAGTTTCCCCAGAAACACACACACGTGCTCCTTGATTTCTTTATTAATGTTCAACTCAAACAAGTTGAGGCAACAGAGCAGCAACATTCGGGCGAACCGCAAAGCGACTAACCACCCTGCTGTTGCATATGAAACATTGTCTCCAGTATGCAATAGCGCGCGCAACAATGCTGCTGAATGCATGTTGCGAAAGAAACCCCCAGCAACATGTAGCGCATATAAAGCAGCGCAACTGTTCCCAGACTTACGAACTTAAATGGCGAACATATTTGAAGCGAACAGCAAATTTGCGGCAGCGGTTTGATGGCCCAAAGCTGGCTGCAGATAAATGCCCCCCAATTAAAATCTGGTATACAACTCTCTCGCACTAGTAGAATGCTTTGCTGGCCTGGTTGGGGAACATTGAAGCTGGAGAAGAGGATACATACGACAAAGCCGGTTTTGAAGATATTTTTCTTTTTTTTTCTGTACGATTTCTGTTGCCACTCAACAAAAGCGCGAGTGTGTGTGTGCGTATGTGTAAATGGAAGCTTAATTCCAGCTCAATAGCTGCATAAGTGGCTAAGTTGTTTGTTTTTTTTTTTTCTTGCCGTTTCTTTTAACTGAATAGCGCGTTTTTGTATTGGTAAATCCACTTTAAACTCGTTCGCATAGATACATAGAAAATGTTGATTCTTTTCGTACTGACTACTGATTTTTTTTAGTGATTTTTATGCTAAGCTGTTGAGCTGTCTTGAACAAAAGGCAATTCTATAGACTTGGCTTGAGACTCATGTTTATGCGAGTGGCATGTAGCTGATCGTTGGCTTGGTAGCTGGCTGGCTGGCTAACTGCCAAGAAACAAGTTTTTTCCAACGAGTTGAGCTTAGATACACATTGAAGTTTCTTACTTACATATTTACTTGTCTAGTAAATGGCGACTCAAGTAAAG